TCTCTGAATGCATGAACATTTTATATTACCTGCATATTCTAATATTGTATGTGTTTATAAGTATACTCCCAAAGGTAAGAAATAAGGTAAAAAGAAATATGCAAGTAGAAGCTTTAATATTTTCTTTATATACCTAAAGGATTATCTCAAAACCATCCCAATTTGGAGATCATTGGAGTATACAATATGAGGGAAAGCCTCATAATGGGCTTTTCCCACTAGTTTTTCTCTTTTTGATTCCCATTTATTTTCTTTTTCCATATGTATGTCTCTATTTGGGTGTGTATAAATACATGAGTATACATTTGCATATATAGTTAAGCTCTGCGTAGCAATTTACAAAATTTAACATCTTAATACCTATTTATTTGCTTGCATTTCACAGACCAACTGTGTTCTCTGCTCTTAATTACACTTCTCAAATCAAGGTATCAACCTTGACTATGTCCTGAGACAAGTTCCTGTCTGAGGTTCCTGTTTCTTGTTGGCTGTGCAAAGGCACCTAGTTCTTCCCCATGCCATTCCTTACCATGTGGCCCTCAACAAAATGGCAGTTTTCTTCTTCAAGACTGACAAAATTCCTTTCACATTTTGAGTTTCTTAAACTTCTTCTGTCTCTGACCATTTGATCCATGTTTAGAGAGCTATGTGAATAGCTCAGATCTACTGACATAATTTCCCTGTTATTACATCAAGGTCAACCTAACTACAAAGGCAGATCCTTGTCACCATGTCAGGTAATGTAATGATGTTTATTGAGGTATGTTCAATAAATATTTCATTTTGGGTATAAGAGTTGTGACAGTACTTAAGCAAAATTACATAAAATCAAATTGAGTTTAAAAAAATCTAATGATGATTTACTTTTTTCTTGAATATGTTTGGAGAAAGAAGTTTCATAGAGTCTCTAGGTTGCATAAATCACAGAATACTGTGTAAATGAATGGTTTAGGTTTGGCGGAGGTATGTGTTCATTGCTTATATACATAAATAAGCTTATCCTTCACTATCAAATTATTCTGCAAGATGTACAGTACCCAACAGAAATACATTGACTTAACTTTTTGCATTTAATATCTGCCTTTCTGATCAATAAAGAACTATAGGAGTTTAAGAGAAAAACAACTAGCATGATCTAGGTGCTGGAGTTTGGAGTTGACTAAAACAATATAGTGCTTCACTTGAACTGTAAAGATAAAATTAGGTTACTGAAAGGAAACCCTATAATTCACTCTTTTTGTTCCCTGGATTATAGAAAATAGCATAAAAAATACTATGTTTATTTTTACATCATTTTGTGCCTCCTTCTCAGTTGTAATCCCCGTGGGCTTCCCATCACCAAGTCACCCATGTGCCATCACCATAGTCCAGTGCACTTCCCTCCCCCCACCATTTTTGATCCCATTCCCCATCCCACCCCCATAAAATGTCTCTAGTATATAGTTGTTCGTTATTATTATTTTCTCCCCTGGTCCTTTAAACTCCTGCTATGAATGAAATCATTTAGTATTTTTCCTTTCTGGCTTATTTCACTATGCGTGATTTTTCCAGCTCCATCCATGTTGCTACAAAAGGCGTGTGTTTATTTATTTACTTATTGGTTGCTCAGTAATATTCCATTGTGTGTATTTACCATATCTTTTTAATCCAGTCATCCACTTTGGGGCATTTGGGTTGTTTCCATGTCTTTCCAATTGTAAGTAAAGCAGCAATAAACATGGGAGTGCAGGTATTTTTTTGAATCAATGTTTTTGTGTCTTTTGGGTAGATGCCTAGGAGTGGAATTGCTGGCCCATATGGAATCTCCATTTTTAGCAGTTTGAGAAACCACCAAACAGTTTTCCATAGTGGTTGTACTAGTTTGCATTCCCACCAGCAATGCAAGAGAGTTCCTTTTTCTCTACATCCTCATATACTTGTTGGCCATCTGCAAGAAAATAGCAGCATTGTAAAGGCGGACTTTATAGAGATTGTTTGCCTGTAAGGTAATAAATGATTGGGTGAAGGGGAGAGGAGGGAGTTGATTTCTTTCTACAAAATGTTTGACCTACTAGAAATAAAGTGAATCTAGTTAAGAAAGAAACGTTGCCAACCCAAAAATTTTAGAAAAGAGTATGCAATATAGTTGCATTTATAGTTGGAAATATAGTTGAAATTAGGTATGTAACATTCATTTCGTTCTTAAATCTATATTCTAATTTAAGTAGAATCAACTAAACAGTAGTTACATTTATAAATTACAGGTCCCCTAGAGTACTATAAAAGGAAATGGGTTGTTTGGACAATCTCTTAAGTTCTGGATTTGCTTCCCTATTTAAAGGGAGATTGAACTTTTCTCCCATAAACATATCCTTAAACTACCATAAATAGAAAATTGAAAAAGACAATTTTTAATTAATGTTCTGATAGTTGTATAATATCAGTAGTCACATCTCAAAGCAGAGACCATTTACAAAACAGTAAATATAAATTGATTCTTTAGGTGTTGATAATTTTTAATAGGAAGGAGTAACTAATCATGTCTGATGAAATTGTAATTCCTAATAAGCCTGACAAAAGAGCACAAGTGTACACATTGATCTTTTTGTTGGTTTCTCCTTGCATTATTGGTGTGATTTTCAACTTGTTACTTTAAGAAGGAGTAGTTTCTTATAGAGTATTTTTTAGCCACTCACTCACTTTGTAATTGTTATGATAAAACTAGATAATGTAATAATGTAATTTATGAATTGTTTATAGAACTGACTTGCAAGTACTGCAGTATTACAGTATGCTCAAGCAAACATGAACGTAAAGCCAACTAGTCATCCTCCTAAAGGCTATGGAAGTCCTACCCTTCTTAAAATATATCCCATAGTGACCAACTGTGATAAAAGCTGGTCAGATCTCATATAATAAAGACTCCTACCTCTCAATGATAGTTTTTTTGTTTACCAGTTAGAGTGTACATAACCCCTTCTGGAGAAACTTAGAGTATATTTTGTAACTATTTGAACTTATCTTTGATAGATTTCTAAATCTATATTTACATTATCCTGGAAGCAAAAAATGGGTGTTTGCCTGATTCTGGCAATGTATATGGTATCTTGAATGCAATTAACATTTCTAAAGATGCTGCCAGCCAATGCCTATCTTAATTATTATTAACTCCAATCTTAACTGCAAGTGAGAAAGTAGAGAATAGTTATTTTGTCTCAATTTTGTTCATTCATATATAATAGTGTTTCACAGTTTTAAGTT